TATAATATTATCGTAGTTATTTACTATATAGTTAGTACTTTATTTCTAGGAGATAGGTCTAATAGCTTTTAACGCGTTTTCTACCTAATAGTCTATGCTTAATAGCTCTAAAACGCCTCTAAATCTATAGTATATTATCGTTATTTTTAAGCTTATAACCTATATATCTATATCCTTAAGTATAGCCTTTATAAGCGAGGTATATCGTTGGTATAGAATAAGAGCTTCCTTATAAAAATCTATAAGGGGTCCTGCTTATATATAAAGGAGACTAACCTATAACCGCGCGTTATTTATATTATTATCTTATATCTATATAAGGATATTATATAATATAGTATAGATAATCGCTATAATATATAAGTGTACCTTATTAAACTCTTATTACTACGTTTCGTATTTAGCCTTTTCCTCGCGGTATACACGGCGATCTTATAGATAGCGCTTATATCCTTTTTAGGAGACGTTATTAATGGATATAATAATAATCTTAATTATTAGTTCCTTCATTACGGCTATAGTCTTTCTATATACGGTTATCTTCTTTTTTATACTAATAGCTATAATAGTAGTAATAGTAATAGTAACGGCGGCGGCGGCGGCGGCGGCTATAATATGGTCTTAGACTAAGGGGTCGGAGGCGCTATCGCCCTTTACTATAATAGTAGAATATAAAGTAGCCGTAGCCTCCTTAGCCGCGTTAAGGTTAATAATAAGGGCTTTGTATTTACGAATATTAGGTAGTGTAGGCTTAAGGAGCAGGTAAGCGTCGGTCTCCTTATTACCTAGCTTTAGATTAAGATAGTTATCCTAATAGGCGGTAGATTTACTATATATAGCACGCTTCTATATTATCTAATCCCTTTAGTTAATAAGGGTAATAGCTTTTTATTCGGCGTTAGATATGGTAGAAGATATCTTTGCTTATTTATCGGTTAATTAAGCAATTAATATATAGATTAGTAGGTTAATTAATCGCTTAATTACTTTAATTAGGCTAATAGTAGTTATTAAAGAGTACTTATAAAA